AAGTTGGCAAAGTTTAAACAAGTTGGCAAAATTGATTAAACAGATTTTGAGAACAAACACAATACTGTAAGCCACAGAAGAGGTTTAAAAAAATGTAACAGAGACTAAAAATGTCTTCACTTTTACCATGTCCAACCACCAGGAACAACAGTCTTCCACAGCAGAGGAAACCTTTCTTTAGAGGCTATGCCTCTGCAAAAAAATGTAAAACAGTCTAAGAGTTCATAGGTGACAATCCCAGCACAATTAAAAATATAATATTTCATTNTTACCTGTACAGTACAGTATTTTCTGAGGAAACACTCGTACTTATTTTTTTTAACCCCATTCCCGATAACTCGGCATTTTCAAAAACTCTGCCATCCTTTGGTCCACATTAGGCCAAGTTTTTGGGACTATACTGTAGTAAACAAGTATGAAAATGTGAGGCTCCAGAAATGTCCCAGAACCACACTAAAATCTAAAAACCACTAAATTTGTTAATAACGTAAAGTATAATTTTTATGCCCATAAAGGGAATTATAGGCTAAATAATAATAATAGAGTAAAAAAACCTTTTCTCAGAAAATAAACAAAGGAAAATTAGATAATGTAAGTCCTAAGATCAACTTTCTCCAGTTGGGATCAGATTAAATGTAAGTTTTGACTCATCTCATGATCTGAGTTCAGATCTTGTTACACTTAGTAACAAGTGATGACCGATTAGAAAGTGGCAATGAGGTAAGATAACCAATTGAAATGGTTGATCAGGGACTGAAGATGATTAAAAACTCTGATATCAAGGACAAAGAGAGCTTCTCTCTCCAAATTTCTCATAGTGCAAGATTTTAGTGACATTCTCTACTTCATCCTGGACTCTATCTGGACTGACCTCATCATATCTGGGGAGTGAACAGCATCATCTCATGGCAAAAAAGAAAACTGAAGGATCCTTCTCTCAGGATTCTTTCTTTTAAAAGAAGAACCAAATGGTTTACAGTCTTTATCTGCAGAGACATCAAGAATATTATTGCTGTAAACTTTTTTTGTGTGTGTTTAAAATAAATCAAGACAATTTTCTTTGTAATTGTGGAGTCTGGTTCTTGTCTATTATGCTCATATTCTGAATTGGTACCTCTCTTCCATTCTGACTTTAAACACAACTCAGCAATGTCACAAAAGAGCAACAAATTAGTCTTAGAATATATCCTTGTAAATTGTGTTCTGTGAGTCCTTGTTATATGTTGTGAATGCATGGATTTTATAAAGCTTTTGAAGTTTCAGCTAGAGTAATAAATTTGTAGTGAATCTAAATGTAATAAGTGGAATTTCAAGATAGTCATATAGTGGAGAGGCATTACTGAAAATAATGACAAAAATAGATAGATGTTTGTTTTGAACTGCCAGAAAATTAATTATGAGTATAATATTTAAGAATTCTTTTTATTGCTCAAATTTTCATGTTTCTGTACTATGATCATGAAATCTACCGTGTGCTATTAAAAAATCTCTGTGTGGCACAAATTGGTGATCATGGGACTGATGATTTTTATGGAGGTATACATAAATAAAGGAGATACACAAAATAGTCAAAACAGTTTACTGGATACTTGGAATCTCACCTCTTTTACAGTTTTAGTGATGTGCACATCACAGTTTGATAATCCCAGAGTTTCCTTCATTTTCAAAGTAAATTATACCTGAAAGCTACTGATCCAGATGACATTCAGTTGGAGTGATTGATTTTGTTGATTTCACAGTTTTCTGGAGGTGATGGTTGCCCATTTCACCAGTAGTGTCTTTTCTTAACTGTATAGCTTGGTCAACCTTCCTCAAATCTGTGCTGAGTTTCTTCCTAAAGCATGGGAACTTGACTCTTTTCTGAGTCAGTTGTTGAGATTGGCTTCTGTGTCCAGAAGCCAATCTCAACAACTGACTCAGTGTCTAGTTTGATAAACAAATCTCTTACCTTTCCTTATCAAGGCAAAAGCACATAGTCTAAGTCTTGGAAGAAAGACTGACTCAATTTAGGTCTCTTCTGTATTCAAGGGATTGAGTTTGTTCTTTTCTTGGTCAATCAGCAGTAGATTCCTGCCCTGTGATATCTCAAGTTTACTTCAATTCTGCACTATCAGGGAATTGTAATGTGATGGAATAACCAGCCTCTTGTTTTAAGTAAATGAAATTGGATGAGAAAAATTGTGGATTGCATTGTTCTCCCAGGCATTATGTTTAACACAGACACCTGCCCTATGTCATATGATCCAATTTTTGCATTTGATTACCATATTGTTTTCTATAATACAATAAAAATATAAGAAACTTACCTGTTCTATTATATTTAATTTTTTAATATAGTTGAATTTCCAATAATTGCACCTCCCAACAACAAACACCTCAAAACAGTGGTCATTTTTCATGAATATTTCTTTTTGAATAAAAATGCACACAATATAATGTCTAAGCAACTCCCAAGAACAGTCCCAGCTATGAAAAGAACCTATTTTCAATCTCTCAGCAACAGTCACTGTCCTCAAAATGGTGCACAGAAAATGATAATGCACTGTACAAAATTATTCTTTATTAATAAAATGGCTAGTTTGGCTACAGACTTTTCACATGATTAATAACTTTGCCTTAAACATAAATAAGTTTTTCTTAAAAAGCATCAAGGACAATTTATGCTTAACATTATAGACAATTGCAAAAACAATTTTTGTACTTTCTTGAAAGTGCAGATTACTATTAAAAACACAGATATAAACTGAACTTTATTGTAACTATGACTTAAGCTAAAATATTTTAAAAATATAACAGTATCCATTGACAGTGGTGATAATTTAAAAAATGTCAATACTAAGGATTAGGTACATTTTAGGTGTTTTTTAAGAAGAATTTGAAGATTATTTTTAATTATTACTGCCAACAGACTTTTTTAAACATATATTGTAACCTACAATATAAGATTAATCTACAAGTGTTTTTAGCCATTCTCTGCATATTAGAGGACTTTTATACAAAAATATTTTTGTAGTTTTCTGCAAAAATAATAGATTAAGTTTTCCTTCAGTTTATACAACCTATGCAATTTTTAGCTGACTTCCCAACAATGGACTTTTTTATGTTCCCATTAGTACACACTGTTTCAGAGATTGGACTGTATCTAGTTTTGTGTCTGAAAATTTCAAAGACAAATTTGTGCTTCTAAATATAGTGTATGTATTACAATGGTGTGATGCAAAACATTTGTTAGGAAATTGTGATGCATGTCAGTTTGATTTTGTATTTGGAATAAAAATAAATTGAAAAATTAAATAAATATATAAATTTTCTGAATATTAAAATAAATAATATAGTAAAATAATTATTTGTATTTAATTAATATACAATTTATACAGATATTAGAAACACTCTGGGAAGATTATTGTCAAAAAATCAATGAAGCTGTTGCAGCACCATTGAATTCGTATTTGAATCAATTTCCTGATATGAAGGTAGGTAAAAATTTACTAAAATAAAATTTAAAATGATTTTAAATAGTGTTTTTTAATTATTACACTAAATACTCTACCTTCAATTTTTTGGCATGTTTTTACTGAACTAGTAATTTCAATTTCTATAAAGGATCATCTTTAGGTTTCTCAAGTTATATAACTGTTATATAATTGTTACAGAATGAATTTATCAGAGAAAGATTAACTTTAATAATTGAAATTTAACTTTAATTTTACTTAAATTGAAATAGCATACACTTCCTGCATATAGACATTCCCTTAAGGAATGGAGAAGTGTATACCAATACTTTTAGAAAACTAACATTTCACCCATTGTATACATCTGTTATTTTGAATGATCCTTGGACATACAAAACTGCCACATTCAAAACCCTCATAAAAAGAGTCTTTACACATTGTATAAATATACAAGATACACTAAAAGAATTAGAGTATATCAAGAAAATAGCTTTAAACCTTGAGTATAAGAAAAAAGTTATAAATAATTTGATTCAAGCACACTCAAAAGAGAAGGAAAAAACCAAGGAAGGATAATAATAAACAATGGAAAGTAATCATTTATAGTAATTGAGCAGAGCATAAGTGGAGCTCTGCATAAGTCAGAAAGTGTTTTGTCTATGATTAAAGTGTAAAGCAACCACATGATCATTAAACATGATTTTTTGTAAATATGTACAACTTGGCAAGGCATGATAAAGGTAAAATTTGTAATTGAATCTATGGGCTGAGCTATTTGGTCATGCACTACATGCCAATCAAGTTTCCAATTGCTGTCAATTTATATTAATCTCTACAACAATTTTTTATTTTGATCTTTACAACAGACATTTAAGATACATGGCTTGCAGCCAAACATGTGCATGTTTTAACCAGTTGCTGGAGTTAGTAGGTTGCAGGCTGCATATATAGTTGTTTTAAATAATTCTTAAATTTTTACTGGTTATGACATTAGACATACACATCCTTTCTTGGAACATGCATGTTTTGAACTGCTTTAGACAGAATGTTAGAAGCATGTCACCACATCTGTGTTTTGGGTGAAGCCAAAACAGGAAAACTTACACTGCAGAGCTCAGTTTCATTTTCCTAGTAAGTACCTTGTAATCTTATGCAAATACATAAAAAATAGCTAATGTAGGCAATTTTAATATTGTATGCAAATGCAACTCCATGATATATAACATTAAAAAATGATAAAAAGATCAAAATAGTATTCCAGGAATGTACAGTGTGTGTGTTACATATTGCCCCAGGTGTTCCTACCACCATCCCTTGCTGTACCTGTATCTGTGTACCAGCAAGTCCATTGTACTTGAATGCACCACCATCTATACATATCTTAAAATACCTACAGGATGTTTATGGACATCTTGACAGTGCCTTCCTTGAGCAAGAGGGGACACCATAAAAACCTGTTAAAACATTTATATATACACCATAAAACCTGTGTAATATATATATATATATATATTACACAGGTTTTATGGTGTATATATAAATGTTTTAACAGGTTTTTATGGTGTCCCCTCTTGCTCAAGGAAGGCACTGTCAAGATGTCCATAAACATCCTGTAGGTATTTTAAGATATGTATAGATGGTGGTGCATTCAAGTACAATGGACTTGCTGGTACACAGATACAGGTACAGCAAGGGATGGTGGTAGGAACACCTGGGGCAATATGTAACACACACACTGTACATTCCTGGAATACTATTTTGATCTTTTTATCATTTTTTAATGTTATATATCATGGAGTTGCATTTGCATACAATATTAAAATTGCCTACATTAGCTATTTTTTATGTATTTGCATAAGATTACAAGGTACTTACTAGGAAAATGAAACTGAGCTCTGCAGTGTAAGTTTTCCTGTTTTGGCTTCACCCAAAACACAGATGTGGTGACATGCTTCTAACATTCTGTCTAAAGCAGTTCAAAACATGCATGTTCCAAGAAAGGATGTGTATGTCTAATGTCATAACCAGTAAAAATTTAAGAATTATTTAAAACAACTATATATGCAGCCTGCAACCTACTAACTCCAGCAACTGGTTAAAACATGCACATGTTTGGCTGCAAGCCATGTATCTTAAATGTCTGTTGTAAAGATCAAAATAAAAAATTGTTGTAGAGATTAATATAAATTGACAGCAATTGGAAACTTGATTGGCATGTAGTGCATGACCAAATAGCTCAGCCCATAGATTCAATTACAAATTTTACCTTTATCATGCCTTGCCAAGTTGTACATATTTACAAAAAATCATGTTTAATGATCATGTGGTTGCTTTACACTTTAATCATAGACAAAACACTTTCTGACTTATGCAGAGCTCCACTTATGCTCTGCTCAATTACTATAAATGATTACTTTCCATTGTTTATTATTATCCTTCCTTGGTTTTTTCCTTCTCTTTTGAGTGTGCTTGAATCAAATTATTTATAACTTTTTTCTTATACTCAAGGTTTAAAGCTATTTTCTTGATATACTCTAATTCTTTTAGTGTATCTTGTATATTTATACAATGTGTAAAGACTCTTTTTATGAGGGTTTTGAATGTGGCAGTTTTGTATGTCCAAGGATCATTCAAAATAACAGATGTATACAATGGGTGAAATGTTAGTTTTCTAAAAGTATTGGTATACACTTCTCCATTCCTTAAGGGAATGTCTATATGCAGGAAGTGTATGCTATTTCAATTTAAGTAAAATTAAAGTTAAATTTCAATTATTAAAGTTAATCTTTCTCTGATAAATTCATTCTGTAACAATTATATAACAGTTATATAACTTGAGAAACCTAAAGATGATCCTTTATAGAAATTGAAATTACTAGTTCAGTAAAAACATGCCAAAAAATTGAAGGTAGAGTATTTAGTGTAATAATTAAAAAACACTATTTAAAATCATTTTAAATTTTATTTTAGTAAATTTTTACCTACCTTCATATCAGGAAATTGATTCAAATACGAATTCAATGGTGCTGCAACAGCTTCATTGATTTTTTGACAATAATCTTCCCAGAGTGTTTCTAATATCTGTATAAATTGTATATTAATTAAATACAAATAATTATTTTACTATATTATTTATTTTAATATTCAGAAAATTTATATATTTATTTAATTTTTCAATTTATTTTTATTCCAAATACAAAATCAAACTGACATGCATCACAATTTCCTAACAAATGTTTTGCATCACACCATTGTAATACATACACTATATTTAGAAGCACAAATTTGTCTTTGAAATTTTCAGACACAAAACTAGATACAGTCCAATCTCTGAAACAGTGTGTACTAATGGGAACATAAAAAAGTCCATTGTTGGGAAGTCAGCTAAAAATTGCATAGGTTGTATAAACTGAAGGAAAACTTAATCTATTATTTTTGCAGAAAACTACAAAAATATTTTTGTATAAAAGTCCTCTAATATGCAGAGAATGGCTAAAAACACTTGTAGATTAATCTTATATTGTAGGTTACAATATATGTTTAAAAAAGTCTGTTGGCAGTAATAATTAAAAATAATCTTCAAATTCTTCTTAAAAAACACCTAAAATGTACCTAATCCTTAGTATTGACATTTTTTAAATTATCACCACTGTCAATGGATACTGTTATATTTTTAAAATATTTTAGCTTAAGTCATAGTTACAATAAAGTTCAATTTATATCTGTGTTTTTAATAGTAATCTGCACTTTCAAGAAAGTACAAAAATTGTTTTTGCAATTGTCTATAATGTTAAGCATAAATTGTCCTTGATGCTTTTTAAGAAAAACTTATTTATGTTTAAGGCAAAGTTATTAATCATGTGAAAAGTCTGTAGCCAAACTAGCCATTTTATTAATAAAGAATAATTTTGTACAGTGCATTATCATTTTCTGTGCACCATTTTGAGGACAGTGACTGTTGCTGAGAGATTGAAAATAGGTTCTTTTCATAGCTGGGACTGTTCTTGGGAGTTGCTTAGACATTATATTGTGTGCATTTTTATTCAAAAAGAAATATTCATGAAAAATGACCACTGTTTTGAGGTGTTTGTTGTTGGGAGGTGCAATTATTGGAAATTCAACTATATTAAAAAATTAAATATAATAGAACAGGTAAGTTTCTTATATTTTTATTGTATTATAGAAAACAATATGGTAATCAAATGCAAAAATTGGATCATATGACATAGGGCAGGTGTCTGTGTTAAACATAATGCCTGGGAGAACAATGCAATCCACAATTTTTCTCATCCAATTTCATTTACTTAAAACAAGAGGCTGGTTATTCCATCACATTACAATTCCCTGATAGTGCAGAATTGAAGTAAACTTGAGATATCACAGGGCAGGAATCTACTGCTGATTGACCAAGAAAAGAACAAACTCAATCCCTTGAATACAGAAGAGACCTAAATTGAGTCAGTCTTTCTTCCAAGACTTAGACTATGTGCTTTTGCCTTGATAAGGAAAGGTAAGAGATTTGTTTATCAAACTAGACACTGAGTCAGTTGTTGAGATTGGCTTCTGGACACAGAAGCCAATCTCAACAACTGACTCAGAAAAGAGTCAAGTTCCCATGCTTTAGGAAGAAACTCAGCACAGATTTGAGGAAGGTTGACCAAGCTATACAGTTAAGAAAAGACACTACTGGTGAAATGGGCAACCATCACCTCCAGAAAACTGTGAAATCAACAAAATCAATCACTCCAACTGAATGTCATCTGGATCAGTAGCTTTCAGGTATAATTTACTTTGAAAATGAAGGAAACTCTGGGATTATCAAACTGTGATGTGCACATCACTAAAACTGTAAAAGAGGTGAGATTCCAAGTATCCAGTAAACTGTTTTGACTATTTTGTGTATCTCCTTTATTTATGTATACCTCCATAAAAATCATCAGTCCCATGATCACCAATTTGTGCCACACAGAGATTTTTTAATAGCACACGGTAGATTTCATGATCATAGTACAGAAACATGAAAATTTGAGCAATAAAAAGAATTCTTAAATATTATACTCATAATTAATTTTCTGGCAGTTCAAAACAAACATCTATCTATTTTTGTCATTATTTTCAGTAATGCCTCTCCACTATATGACTATCTTGAAATTCCACTTATTACATTTAGATTCACTACAAATTTATTACTCTAGCTGAAACTTCAAAAGCTTTATAAAATCCATGCATTCACAACATATAACAAGGACTCACAGAACACAATTTACAAGGATATATTCTAAGACTAATTTGTTGCTCTTTTGTGACATTGCTGAGTTGTGTTTAAAGTCAGAATGGAAGAGAGGTACCAATTCAGAATATGAGCATAATAGACAAGAACCAGACTCCACAATTACAAAGAAAATTGTCTTGATTTATTTTAAACACACACAAAAAAAGTTTACAGCAATAATATTCTTGATGTCTCTGCAGATAAAGACTGTAAACCATTTGGTTCTTCTTTTAAAAGAAAGAATCCTGAGAGAAGGATCCTTCAGTTTTCTTTTTTGCCATGAGATGATGCTGTTCACTCCCCAGATATGATGAGGTCAGTCCAGATAGAGTCCAGGATGAAGTAGAGAATGTCACTAAAATCTTGCACTATGAGAAATTTGGAGAGAGAAGCTCTCTTTGTCCTTGATATCAGAGTTTTTAATCATCTTCAGTCCCTGATCAACCATTTCAATTGGTTATCTTACCTCATTGCCACTTTCTAATCGGTCATCACTTGTTACTAAGTGTAACAAGATCTGAACTCAGATCATGAGATGAGTCAAAACTTACATTTAATCTGATCCCAACTGGAGAAAGTTGATCTTAGGACTTACATTATCTAATTTTCCTTTGTTTATTTTCTGAGAAAAGGTTTTTTTACTCTATTATTATTATTTAGCCTATAATTCCCTTTATGGGCATAAAAATTATACTTTACGTTATTAACAAATTTAGTGGTTTTTAGATTTTAGTGTGGTTCTGGGACATTTCTGGAGCCTCACATTTTCATACTTGTTTACTACAGTATAGTCCCAAAAACTTGGCCTAATGTGGACCAAAGGATGGCAGAGTTTTTGAAAATGCCGAGTTATCGGGAATGGGGTTAAAAAAAATAAGTACGAGTGTTTCCTCAGAAAATACTGTACTGTACAGGTAACCCCTGTATAACACGGCAGTTACGTTCCAAAAAATTGCCGTGTTATGCGAATCCGTGTTATACGAAACAAAGAACTAATACAAAAAGGAGGGTTAGGTTCCAAAAATTAAAAAACATGCTACTATATTTTCATAATTAAGATAAATACCTTTATTAAAATTTTCTTAAGTGATACATATTAATATAAANAAATAGATCTGCAGGGAACCCCATGAACTTTGACCAGCACCTGGAAGTTTCACCAGCACCTCACCAACAACAAGAGAGGCTTAGGTTTAAAATTTGAGCTTCCTAGACCCAGTAGTTTTTTTTTATATATAAAGGTAATAATAAAGATAAGACTATTCCAGGCCCATATGTTAGTACCATTGCTGAGCAAAATATTTGAACGAATCTTTAAAAACAGACTAGAGTCTGTAATACAAAAATATAATAATGAGTACCAATATGCAGTATGGTTTTAAAAATCAGTGCTCAACAGAGGAGGCATTATTGTGTCTCCAAGAGATTGTTCGTAAGTCTTGTAGCAAATACATTTTAGGTCTATTCTTTGATATAAAAGGAGCATTTGATCACCCATGGTGGCCCTCCATTCTAAGAGAGCTTGTATATAGGAAATGTCCCAGTGAATTATATAGGTTACTAAGGGACCTTTTATCATACAGAGGGGTTATGTACAAGGAGGGTGACCAAAAGGTATAAAAAAAGGTAAATGGGCCCTCCCCAGGGGTCATTCTTGGACCTGTCCTGTGGAATCTGGTGTTTGATGGTTGCCTCAAGGTTTTAAATGAGAGTCGCATTGAGCAAGGGTGGCCAACTTTTGTGTACATAAGATCTACTTTTTGTCTTAAAAATGTGTTGCAATCGACTTGTTGTCATGGGCATAGTCTAAGTGGCAAGGGAAAGGTGTGAAATACATACTATGTTTAAATAGGTAAGAAAAACCACAATTTAATTTAAAACATAAAGAAAAGGTACTTACATTTTAAACAGAAGAAAAATTGAAACTCAACATTGTCACTTTCGGAGACCACCACTTCACCCTTCCTCTCTCTACCATGTCCTGACCTACTCTTTCTGTCCCTCTTCCCACCTTTCTTTTTCTTGGTTTTATGATCCTTTGTCTACATTTCTTATTCCCCTTTTACAACTGTACACAAATGGATTGCACATGAACTGACAAAACCGCATCTGAGAGAGGACACAGAGGTCTGATATCACTACAGTTGCATTTGCGCATTACATTCACGCGTTGCGTTTGGTTACAAGTGTAACATTAAGTCAAGACATCACAAACGATTGACCAAAATTGGCTTTGCAATCAACTTGTTGGCCACCCCTGGCATAGAGTATGTTGCTTATGCCGATGATCTGATTTTACTTATATCCAATAATTCGAGAAGTGAGCTGGAGTCCCATGATAAAAAGTAGGTGATGAGGTTACAGAAATGGCTTGTGGCTAATAAATTAGAATGCCATTGTATGCATTGTCTGTGGATAAGATGGTGCCAATATTACTAAAAGGTAGCTTATTGAAAGAATGGCTGTCGAGAGTCAGAATGAATGATAAAGTAATAAAGATAGCCAACTCGGTAAAGTATCTTGGTATTGTTATTGGGGCCAGTTTCATTATTATGTCACGTCAACTATATCACAGAACAGTCTATTAAGAGCTGCCTATTAAAGCAGAATATAAGGAAAGAATGGGGCTCCAGTTTCACAACTCTTTGTATATTATATATTATTATATTATAAGAGTTTGTTTTTAAGTGTTTTAAGTTATGGTATTTTAGCATAACATGACCTTTTAAAGGGTTATCATAAGGTCAAATTAGAAAGAGCCCAAAGAATGGTCTTATTGATTTTAACTAAGTCATATAGTACTACATCT